TATTTGCATGCCATTTTAATTTGCAATCGAGACTCTGCCTTTTGTCGGGGTAAAGAGATGGAAAAGCCATACCTGATCTTTTCAGGTTGTCCTTTTTCCTAGTCAAAGAAAAGTCGAAATTCCTCAAATTAGATTTTAATTTGTCCTGTCCTAGATGTTGAGTATTTTACAACAAACCCCACCCGTCTTAAATGCATCATAAGTTTGAGTTCAATAAATTTATACAATACAATTTTTAGTTCAAGGACAAAATCGGTGCAAAATTCAAAGTTAAGGAGCTTGGCGTTAAACAAATTATATATCTTTTCACGGTAGTCCCTGTCGAAATGCAATGCGGGTCTTTTTGAGGGTGGTGTCAACAATATTTTATAGGTTTTCCGATGTGCTCACTCAGATTGCGGATGGCTTGTAGGTTTACAGGTCTTGTTCTTTCTTGTCTCGTCTGAGCATTGAGGCCAGCTAGCGCTGCTGGGTTTGGTTTTGCTTTCCTGCTCTCTTCTTATCGAAGGAGCTTAGCCATCATCAGTTTAATTCTGGTGTTGGGTACCTTATACGTACGGTTTTGTTTTTTTGGGTTTCTTTTCCCTTAGAAACAATTCTGTTCCTGATCCTGAAGTTATAAACATGGTCATTTCATTATGATGATATGCAAACTTAAAATGATCTATTTTGTGTGATGCAGTATTGTAGTTCCTTGCCAATTAATGTTATGATACCATAATGAATTAATGGCTTACAAATATCCACCAACTTTGATTGTATTAAATTCAGAGGACTGTCATCTAGCTACTTGGGTGCAAACCTTGACTTGATCTTTTCAGCCTCCGGGGTAGCAATATGGAATGCCTTGGCCAAGACATTATCAGGCAATGCTGGTGTGGCTTAAAACAAGGAGGCAGCGACAGACTGAGTCCCAGGGAGCTGGCTGTTAAAGGCAGCAATAACAGCGGCAGGTCCCTTCCCAATGTTCTTCTGGTAATGGAGCAACCCTTTTGGGAACACAAATACCTCACCTTTGTTGATTTGTTTTGCCATCAACACATTTGCAGTGGTTATGAAACCAACCTTCCAGAACGAAGATCACTTCAGACGCACGTGGATGCGAGTGGGGAGGATTGATCCCACCATGGGCGTAGTCGATGCGTGCTACAGATATACCAAGTGTGTTGAATCCGGGGACTTTTTCAACATTCCCTAAGGTCACCGCAATCCCCAGGGTGTTGTTGTTGATGGGGGATGGGTTGGCAAGGGCAGCAAAGAAGAAATCATTCGGAGTTACAGTTGCAGCGTTCTTGCAGGTGTACCCATTTATTTTCACTTCTGCCGTACGTGTGGATGAGTTAATTTGTAATTGAAGGAACATTATATAGTATATTGACAATGGATATGGTAGGATATACCTGAGGACAAATCAGCAACGCAGGGATCTTGAAGCACATCACAATCTGCAGCAGCGTTTGCCAGGAGAAGAGCAAGAATGATGAGAAGGGGCCTCATGGTTGAGAATGGAAGGCAAGAAAAGTTAGGGATGAATGATTGAGTGTATTTATAGTGAAGGAGAGAAGTGATGGTCATTTTTGGGGCATTTGACTGTATTTGTGTCCCTTGTAGGTTCTGGCCTATATATGTCTTTGCATTCACAAATTAAGGGTCGGTGTGTATGGTTTTGATATTGATGAGAAAGGATTTCTCAATCTAAGGATGTTACTGGCAATTGGCATAAGTTTCATCTACAATTTCAACCATTTGGCTGGTTGGTTGTTATTGAGTTCATATGGATTGTGGCTTTTGTGCCCACTTCTTTCCAATTTAAGATGTGATATATAAATAAAAGCATCGTATTACAGAAATATTAACCGTTCATAAATTTAGTTGGTTAAATATGATCAATAGATTTTATAGATTTCTTCATATTGCAAAACAAGAAACTCATACAATTTATTAATGTTTAAATTTTTATTTTTATTTTTATTTTTTGCTATATAACTAAAAAGAGTTTTTCTATTCTGCAAAGGCAAAGGCAGCAAATCTCAAATCAAATTTATTAACCTACTTGTTTAACCGCAGTATAGGTTTTTACATTACATTAATCTACGTTAAAATGAATCATATGCAATCCAAGCTTTAACATTAAAAAATGGATAAACATGCATCAATTATCTCAGCTTGCAAGCTGCCTCCTGGCAAACCTGCAAAAGAACAATGTTGTTAAAACATCTACTGTAAGTTGCAAACATGAAGAAGGCGAAAGAACTGTGAAAACACCGTATTCTTACCTGATAAAATGCAGCCATGATTACCTCTTTTTCTTACAACCAACAGCCTTGGACCTTTTATTAGAAGTTTCTTTACGGATGTTCTCTGGTGTTTCCTGTTAAGGCAATCAGGAAAACTTATATAGTGAACCACAATTGATAACATAATCAAACCCGGTATTGAGATGCAGAGGGTATTGAATTCAGAGGAAGAGGTGAACAAGGATAGAACAGAACAATAACCAAACATGATTATCCAAACCCTGTAATTCAAGAGGCTCTAGGAAAAACTTAAAAATGGTGGCAGAAAGGAGTCAATGCTTCTAATAGCAGGGATCCTGTACAAGTTACATTGTTTCTACTTAATTCTTTTCCCCTTGACCTTCATACTAAGACCAACTCTTGATATTTAAGTAACTAGGGGCAAAATGAATGGAATATCCCTGATGCCAAAGTGATTGTAGTGACAATATCTAGAAAGATACAATAAGAAACTATAATTTTCTTAAAGCTCATTTTCTTATGGCAAAACTGGTCAGCAACTTGATCTCTAAATAGGAAAGGTTGAGAAGTAAATCATGAGTGAAGTGAGATTATTTTTATTTCTAGAAAATGATGAGTTTAGATAATCAATTAGCTAATTAAGGAAAATTAGTCAATTATTAGAGGTTTAGGTGAAATTAAGAATTAAAAAATAAAATAAATAAATAATAAATTTTAAATTTTAAATTTTTAAACGATTAAACGGGCCAACCCATTAATTTAGTAGATTAACCCGTTATCAACCCATGACCCATCGAGTTCTCTTATCATTAACGCATCACAGGTCATAAATTTCTTACCTTAACTTATTTTAAATGGGTGAATAATGAGCGGTATAGAAAAAATTTACAAGTCTAAATGTCCCTCAAGTCACGCCATTGATCTCCTACCATTGAACTCAGTTGGAGCCTCCAGTTCAGCGCCAGTTGGTGTCCCTCAAGTCACGCCATTGATCTCCTACCATTGAACTCAGATGGAGCCTCTAGTTCAGCGCCAGTTGGTTCCCTTTTATATCCTTCTCTCGTTTGGACTGGATGGTTACCTTGAAGGCTTTTTATACCTGTAAGGATAGATCCGAGGTGCCCAACCTCGGACGTACGACAGTAATTCCCTTTATAACCAAAGTGAAGGATAAATCCAACACTTCCCGCTCAAACAGCTGTATGACAGTGATAATAGGCATGCCCGCACCTGATTCCTTATGACAAGCTGCACAACAGTTACGATAGACATTTTCGCATCTAAATATCTCTCAATTTCTCGGTCCCAAAATAACCGTCTGGAGAGACACGTCAGACTCCGATTATCTTGCTTGACATGTCACGTGGGTTCCTCACTGAAACCTATAAATACCCTCAGGGGCCACGTCAAAAAGGTAATTGAAACCAACCTTAAGCTCTTTTTATTCTTATTCTAAAAGTAGCCCCGATTATTGTTGACTTAAGTATCAGAGTGTTTACCCCGAGTTCCACCTCGAGGCTTTGCAAGTCAATCCGAAGTACAGACGTGGACTGAAGAAGGACTTCTGGTTTGGTGCAATTATAATACCCTTTCTCAACTCCAGTACTGCCCATTTCCTTTCGTCTCAACCACCTTCACGGTATATCCATCTTCCCCACAAAGAAAAAATGGACCTCGGTGCAACAAGTTCGGATCCGCATCTTGAGTACTTTGAATCTTACTTCTGTTTATGTTCTCCTCGATTTACAGTCAGATTTGTGTGTATTGATGTTTTTGGATCTGGTTATGATTCATGTCAAATCTTGATTTGCGTTTCAAAAAAATTTTTTTTTTTGGAACCTCCAGAAAATTGAATTCCCGGTTCAATATTATGTCGTTGGTCTCAAAATTTTATAAGATATGAGATTCAAAGCAGATAGATCTTGATTTTGGGTTGTTGATTTGGTATTTGTTTGGTTTTAAGTTATGATGGGGCTGCCTTTTGCGAAGCTATTTAGTGGGCTTTCTGCGAATTCTTATGGTGGGTCTTGATGCTGCTGGTGAGATCACCGTTCTGTCTAAGCTCAAGCTTGAAGAGATTGTGACTAATATTCCCATAATTGGTTTGTTCTTTATCTGTCTTTAGAAATAATACATTTAGTTGTTTATGTGTTGTTTGATCACTAATAATCTTTCTGTTTTGCCTTCTTTTACAGGGTTTAATGTGGAGACTGTGTAGTATAAGGACATCAACTTCACCGTTTTGAATTTTCTATTGTTTCGGCTCAGGTTCCCTTCTTTTGCTAGTAATTCATACTGATTAATCTTCTTTTGATTTAATTTTGTGAGTTCATGATCAATTAAGGGTTTTAGTGTCTTGATGATATTTTCTGTAAATGGTCAAAGATCTTGATGACCATACAAATCAATAGTGGGTATGATGAAAGATTCTTCCTATTTGTCAATTGAAAGTTATTAATGATTTGGGTAGTTGAATATGCTGTTTTTAATACGGCAGGGTGGAAGAACATATAGGAGAGATATCATCATCTATCATGGAAGAGGGTAATCGAGAACATGCAGCAAAGACACCATCCATCAATTCAAGCGGCGATAGAAAATGTGAAGGAGATTGGAGTCATTTTACATTAGTCGAGGGTTCTACTGTGGAAATCTTGGAAGAGGATAATCAAGAATGTGCAGCAGAGACATCAGCTATCATGCAAAATGATGACGGAGAACATGAAGTAGATTTGAGTAGTTTTACATCATCATAATCACCTGTCATGCAGAAGGATGACGGAAATGATTCTTTATTATCTAAGGGTTTAATATTCAGAATTCCAGGTTTGTTTAAAATGCATAATGAACAGGCTTATAGGCCTTATAAATTTTCAATTGGTCCGTGGTATTTTCGTGAAACAGAGTTGTTGGACATGGGACAAAAATTGAAAGAGTCTTTTTTCGAAAGATTCATTAATCGTTTCTCAGATCCAGCAGCAACGAAGAGCCAGTTGGAAGTAGCTATAAAGAATGTGCGTGGCAAGATTCGAAAATGTTACGAGAGAAGGGATGTACATCATGTTTATTTTGACAATATAGCATTTGAGAAAATCTTGCTACTGGATGGTTGCTTTATTATCGAGTTGTTTCGTAAGAATTTGGTAGAGGTACCCGAAGGAGAAAATGAGTCGCTACTTTTCTCAGGGGGTATGATGCAGGTCATTTATCACGACCTGTTATTGCTAGAAAACCAAATACCATGGGTTGTGCTGGAGCTTTTGTTTGACACAACCAGTGATGATCCTAAACGCATTAGTTTAACTTTGGTTGAGCTGGCTGTTAGATTCTTTAGTTCTGCTATTTCTCATTATGAACCTGGAGAACTACAAAGCATTCAAATAGGGCTTCAATCTAGGAATGACACAAATTTTATACATTTGGTCGATTTTGTGTGGCATTTTTTGTGTTTCTCATCAGAAATGGGAAAAATTATTGAGTTGGGATACAGGGAGTTCGAAGACAGGACCCTTATTCCTTCTGTCACCAGACTTAAAGAGGCGGGAGTTAAATTTCAAAAAGCTGAGTCAAGAAACATCATGGATGTAAGATTCAACAACGGTATCCTTGAAATCCCACCTTTGCTAATTACTCCATCAACAGAAACCATCTTCAGGAATCTCATCATCTTTGAGCAATGTAGTCTTCGTTGCAATTATTAAGGAAAGTAAATCACCTCCATGAAGTCCTGGATTGTCTCCATGAAATCCCAGATTTAGAAGATCTCGGAACTGCAATTGTAAAAGATTTGGAACTGTAATTGTAAATAGTGTTTCCTAGTTTGATTAGATTCTGTAGTGTATAAATTGTACTGCTCCATTCAGTAATAATACTATGAAGAAATCCTTCTCTGATTCAAGCCTTCATACCTTAACAGTGGTATCAGAGCATACCTTCTCTCACGAGATCACTGATCCTATGGCTACTCGTGACGAAACTCCCAACTCAGCAGCATCCAAACACTCGGCCGTAACCATGCTTGAACCCAACATCACCCGGAATCCAATTTCCTTTAACTCTGCAGCTTTTCCCGTCAAACTCACACCCAACAACTATCTCTCTTGGAAAGCTCAGTTCGTGTCGCTTCTTGGAGGCTATGAACTTGATGGTTTCCTTGACGGATCTCATCCTTGTCCTGTAGCAACTGAGCCCACCTACAGTCTGTGGGCACGCCAGGATCAGCTCCTCCGTCATGCCTTAATTACCTCTGTTTCAGAGAACATCACTCCTTACATAGCTGCCGCTGCCACTGCACAGCAAGCCTGGGAAACCTTAGCCAAACTTTATGCCAATTGCTCTCGCACACGGGTCATAACACTCAAGGAACGGCTCCAAACCATGAAACGTGATGGTCGTCCAGTCTCTGAGTATCTTCGCTCTTTGAAAACTGTGGCAGACGAGCTTGGCACCGTGGATCGTCCACTTTCTGATGATGATCTCACTGTTTATATACTCAATGGACTAGGACCAGAGTTTCGGGAAATTGCTACATCCCTCCGGACTCGGGACTCATCTCTTTCTTTTGATGATCTACATGATAGATTAGTGGCCCATGAAGAAAGTTTACGCCGAGACGAAGCTCGGATTGACACCTCCCCGGTAACAGCTTACTTTGCTTCTAATGCTAGATTAACATCATCTACCTCTTCTAGTGCAGGCCCCTTTCCTACCTCTGGTCGACAATCTCAATGGCATTCCCAACAACACCACGGACGGGGAAGTTCTAATCAATCCAATAGGCCCAATCAGCATCGACGTCGTGGCCAAGGCCCACGGTTTCCAACTCGGCCCACTGGATTCACTTGCCAATTATGCGGACATGCTGGACATTTGGCTCGAAATTGCCCCAGTTTTCGGGTGCAGTCCATTGGCCCAATGGCTAATTTTGCATCCTCTTCACATGGTTTTCTTGATGATTGTTTGTTGGACTCCGGTGCTAATAATCATGTTACAACAGACTTGGCCAACTTAGCACTTCATTCTGAATACAATGGTCCTGATGAACTGCAAATTGGTGATGGAACAGGTTTGAAAATCACACACGTGGGTCACTCCACCCTACACACACAAAAGTCCTCCTTACCTCTTCATAATGTCTTATGTGTTCCATCCGCCTCTCGAAATTTAATTTCTGTTTCTCAACTATGCAAAACTGCTAATGTTTATGTTGAATTTCACTCTAATTATTTTCTGGTGAAGGACTCTTGCACGAGGAAGATACTGCTTCAAGGACCAAACATTCATGGGATCTATCAAATTCAAGGAAAAATTAGTCCTCAACCACATGCCTTCATAGGAGAACGCACTACCATGGCGAATTGGCATTCTCGTCTAGGTCATCCTTCCATCAAGACCCTAAAAAATGTTGTCACTTCCTTTAATCTTCCTTTATCTAATAAAATCAATTTTTCTTCATGTGATTCTTGCTCATGCTCTAAGAGCCATAAATTGCCTTTTTCTGAGTCATCCATCACCAGTACTACACCACTTGAACATGTCTTTTCCGATGTATGGGGCCCTGCCCCTGTTACTTCAATTGATGGTTTTAATTATTATGTGTTGTTTATTGATCATTTTAGTCGATATATTTGGCTTTACCCACTCAAACGCAAATCTGATGTCTTTTCGGTTTTCCAAAAATTTAAATTATTGGTTGAAAATCAATTTGATACAAAAATCAAGAACCTCCATACTGATGGCGGGGGCGAATATGTGGCTCTTCGTCATTTTTTATCTCAACATGGCATCTCACATTTTACTACCCCACCATACACACCTGAACTTAATGGCATTAGCGAGCGTCGGAATCGACATATAGTCGAATCTGGCCTTGCTCTATTGCACACTGCATCTCTTCCTTCTAGTTTTTGGTCATTTGCGTTTCTCACAGCCACTTACCTCATTAACAGACTCCCTTCTCAAGCCATTGCACATAAATCTCCTTTTGAAACATTGTTTCGTCTTAAGCCAAATTATCATAAACTTTGGGTTTTTGGTTGTCTTTGTTTTCCATGGCTCCGACCCTATAACTCCAACAAGCTTCAATACCGCTCTCGCCCTTGTTTATTTGTTGGATACTCCTCCGAGAATTTGAGTTACAAATGCCTTGATCTTTCTACAAAAAAAGTGTTTTATTCTCGACATGTTATTTTTCAAGAGCACACCTTTCCTGCACCATTTAAACACTCGTGTCTTCAACAACCTGATTTCCGGTTGGATAGCCTAGACGATCTGCCATCACCACCCGCTGTCTCTGCTGTGGCTCCTCATGAATCTTTGGTTCACGAAGCTGTACCTCCTGCAACAGTCCGCACCTCCCAACCTCCCTTTACCTCACCAACCCGCCCAGCCTCTGCTCCTCCACCCGAATCCCAGCAGCCACACGCACCCACCTCCATCGCTTCCCCACATCTCCCTCCACACTCCTCTGAGCCTATCATTGAGCCCGTTCCCCAACCTCACCCGTTGCCACCTTCGGAGCCCATTCGAACTCACCCCATGCTTACCCGTTCTCAAAACAACATCTTTAAGCCTAAATTCATCCACCAAGCCGTCTCCACCTCTCCTGTTCCCATTTGTGAACCCACTTGTGTGACTCAAGCGCTGAAAGATCCCAATTGGCGGAAGGCTATGTCTGAGGAATTTAGTGCTTTGGTTCGTCAAGGAACCTGGGAATTAGTTCCTTCTACTCCTGATTAGCACCTTATTGGTTGTAAGTGGGTGTTTCATATTAAACGCACCAAAGATGGTAGCATTGAACGCTATAAAGCACGCCTTGTTGCCAAAGGCTTTCATCAACGTCCAGGTTCGGATTACTCTAATACTTTTAGTCCGGTGATTAAGCCAACTACCATTCGTACTGTGTTGTCTATTGCTGTTAGCAGGAATTGGCCTATTCGTCAATTGGATGTCAACAATGCCTTTTTGCATGGGCATCTTGAGGAAAAATTGTTCATGGCACAACCAGTTGGCTTTGTTGATCCTGCTCTTCCTCATCACGTGTGCCGGTTGCGGAAATCTATTTATGGGTTAAAACAGGCTCCACGGGTGTGGTTTCAGGAACTCAAGCAGTTTATTATCTCTCAAGGTTTCTCCCATTCTCGCTCCGATTCCTCTTTGTTTGTTTATCACCGGAATTCGACCTGGATTTATTTCCTTGTTTATGTGGATGACATCCTCATCACTGGTAGTGATCCCTCTGCTGTGTCTTCTCTGATAAATTGCATGAGTACCAGATTCTCCATTAAAGATTTGGGTACTCTTAGCTATTTTCTTGGCATTGAAGCAGTTCCCACCAGTGTAGGACTCTTCCTCTCTCAACACAAGTATGTTAATGATCTCTTCCATCGTTTTCGGATGCATGAGGCTAAGCCGGTAGCCACGCCACTTGCTACTAATACTGGTCCGCAGCTCCTCTCTGGCACTGCTCTTTCAGATGGTTCCGATTACCGGCGTCTTATTGGTTCCCTCCAGTACCTCACTCTCACTCAACCTGACCTGTCATTTGCTGTCAACAAATTAGCTCAGTTTATGCATCGACCCACAGAGCTGCATTGGCAGGCAGCAAAACGACTTCTGCGGTACTTGCGCGGTACTCTGTTTCACGGGTTGCTTCTTCGGCCTCAATCTTCTCTCAACTTGCATGCCTATTCAGATGCGGACTGGGCTGGAGATCGGGATACAATGGTTAGCACCACTGGGTATATAGTTTTTCTTGGTCAGAATCCGATCTCTTGGCGAGCTGCAAAGCAAAAAGCTGTTGCTCGAAGCTCCACCGAGGCAGAATATCGTGCTCTCGCTGCTACAGCCTCTGAAGTTGTCTGGATTCGACATTTGCTTGGTGAACTTGGGATCTCTTGCTCCCCTTCTTCCGCCATCTTTTGTGACAACATTGGCGCCACCTATCTTAGCTTAAATCCTGTTATGCACTCGCGCATGAAGCATATAGCTATAGACTTGCATTTTGTTCGGGATTTAGTTGATCAACGTGTTCTTCATGTCTCCCACATTGCGTCCCAAGATCAGCTTGCTGATGGGCTCACAAAGCCCCTCTCTTCCATCCGGTTTTCTCACTTACGGTCCAAGATCGGAGTTGCAAATGGCACCACCGTCTTGCGGGGGCGTATTAAGGAAAGTAAATCACCTCCATGAAGTCCTGGATTGTCTCCATGAAATCCCAGATTTAGAAGATCTCGGAACTGCAATTGTAAAAGATTTG